CCCAAAGTATACCAACCCTTTACAATAATGCCAGGCATGTATTAGATAATCAATAAATATTTGCTGAATAAAGGAATAGTACAGCTTCAGTGTCACTTATCTGAAATGTCTGGGATCCAAAGTGCTTTGGACTTCAAATTTTTTTGGATTTTGGAATATTTGCATATACAAAATGACATGATATACAGTGTATATATATTTTGACTGAATCCAAATTTCACAGAACGAATTTTTTTTAATAAAAGGGTTTGATCTGTGAAGTTTGGATTCAGTTGACGGGCTGCATTTGGGATGTGGAGGGCCACATGTGGCCTTGAAGAAGCAGGTTCCCCACCCCTGCATGGAACACCAGTCTAAACATGAAATTCATTTATGTCTCACATACACCTTATACAGTCTGAAGGTAATTTTATACAGTATTTTTGATAATTTTGTACATGAAATAAACTGAATCAGCAGAAAGCAAAGGTGTTACTACCTCAGCCATGTATGCCGTGTCATACCAGTGCTCAAAAGTTTTGGATTCTGAAGCATTTTGGATTTCAAATTTTTGGATTAGAGATGCTTAACCTGTATCATTTGGAGTTTTTTCTGTTTGTTTGTTTTTATTAGGTTTGTTACATTGCCAAAAGATAACATAAAAGCATGAAACCACAGATTGGTACATACAAAGGCTATGGTCTCTCTGATGACTCAAGATGAATTATTGGCAGAATTTCACACTACATCCCTAAAACAAAACAAAACAAACAAACAAAAAAAGGTTTGGCCAGTCTACACATAGTATTTCTAATTACTACCATTATTTTTATAAAGAAAGTAAAGTTCACAGAAGTAATTAACCCAGTGCAACACTTTACACTATTCTTTATTTAGCAACAAGTTAAAGTTACCATCTATCAGGAACTGCCAATTTCCCTGAATGCCTCTGTTTAAGACACATACTCTTCGAATATCGAATTACTTATGATTATTTGTATATGTTGCCCAGAATCTCTGTTTGAGTGCTAACTCATGTCAACCCCTCCTTCTTTACCTAACTTCTGTGCCCAGTTATCTGAGATTTCCATCATTTTCCTGTAACCATCTTGTGCACTAGGGGTTGGCAAACTATAGCCCAAAGACCAAATCCAGCTAGCTGCCTGCTTTTGTAAATAAAGTTTTGCTGCAACAAGGCCACACCAACTCATTTAGGTATTGTTCATGGCTACTTTCCTACTACAAGTGTATAACTGAGTAGCTGCAACAGGGACCATCTGGATCACAAAGTCAAAAATATTTACTCCTTGGACCTATTAAAAAACTGGCAATTCCTGTCCTAAGCAAGGCTGTGCATTATATACCTGAACATTATTTACAACTTATCACTCTTTGCAAGAACCTTTAAAAAACTATATATAGATTGTCAAGAAAGAACAATCAATAAAAAGAATATTTCTTCTGCCGTAACTACTATGAACAGTTTTGTATAAAACCTACAGAATTACTCTAGAAATTATTCTGAGGTGAATAGAGTCCAGGGGAATAAGGTGTCGAAACATGAATACAATTGATGCTCATTATTCGCGGTAGTTATGATCTATAAGATCACTGCAAACACTCGATTAGTGAATATTGAATCATTGCCCCTAGGGAAATTCAGAGTGAGGTTTCTGGAAGCCTCTCCTTACAATATTTCATCATCTGATCAACACACTACCTGGTTTTATGAGTGTTTATGTTTGAGGACACCTTATGTAATACACATGGTTGATTCATTAACACTGCACTCACAGTCAACGCCACCACCACTCTGGCCTGAAAAAAGCTTAGTTAACACATGTATTTTCTTAATAAGGCATATCACAGTCATCTTGAGCTTAGCAACACCAGATAGCACTTCAACACTATTCTTGGGGGCCATTTTAAACAACAGAATCATCAACAAAAGGCTCAAAACTGTGAAAAAGATGATGCCAAATAGACCGTGAAAAGGATACTTGTTTCTAGTGCAAGAGCAGAAAACAAGAAGGCAGAAGCAGAGGATCACTTTATTTGACCTCATTTGGAAACTTGTGTCAAGTGACTCAAATTTTTCACCACACTGCACATGTCCATGGTCCATGTCCATGAAATACTACAAAAGTACTGCAAGCATTGGTCTGGGGGTTACAAATAAATTTTAGCAAGTAGGCAAATTAGAAATCCACGAATAATGAGGCTCGACTATATAATACTATAATCATTAATCTGAAAAATTATGCATAATTCAAAAATTTTCCCTTAGGTCTTGATATCTATTCTTAGGTCTCAATCTATAGCTACTATATACGCTTAAGGGATTGGGGAGCTGAGGATAGATAAATTCTCATGACCCCAAATTATGAAGAATGATATATAAAATTTATGGACAAGAGTCTCTTTCCTACATTCTATGTTTCCTGGAATCTAAACAAACATTTCACATTACAAACCTCTGTCGGTCCTCATCGTCACTGCTTTCATATTCTGATTCTTTACTAGATAACTCCTCATACTCATCTGGCAAAGGAGGTTCCTCAGGTGGCTTAGGAGATGTGGGTGGAAGAGGTGCATGCAGTAACATATAGTCTTCATACTAATAAAAGACAACAAATATGCGATGGCAATCTATGTTATATATGGAGTAGATAAGCCAATTCCAGTTGAATATTTGATTCTCATTTCTATCTCATAATATTCTTTTACATATTCTACACATATTCAGGGAACACCTCCTGTGGCAGACCACTAGCTAATCATAAAACTTGTTTCTTCTTCCTTGGCACTCAGCTGGACTAAATTTCCAAACCTCCTCTGTAGTTACATTTCACCAAGTAACTGAGTTTTAGCCAGTGAAATGGGAGCACAACAAAACTCCCACATATAATTCTGTTCCTTCCTGTGGACTTTGTGTTAATGCCCTTATCAGCTTAGGAAGGCACATGGCGAAAACAACTCGGGGTTTTTGAGTGGCTCAGTAACGCAGAATATCCCTCTGCTCTGCTTTTGGAACATACTTGATATGACCAAGAATAATTTCTATTGTATTAAATGGCAAAGAATTTAGTTTTGTTTAACAGCAGCCAGCATAACATAACCTTAATTAATATCCCTGCAATATACCAAGCGTTGAGTAGGTGTTAAAGTTACAAAGAAAAATTATGACGCTAACAGTAATTACGTTAGAAAATTACATTAGAAAAGCAACCAACCCCAATTCTGTTTATATGTCAACACTCAAAATAATTTTGCATTGCTAGTATACACTAAGAGTACTATAGCAAAATAATTAAAATTATTCAAGAGCAGGCAGAGGCTACTATCTAAGTTATGGATAGATTTGTACAGTAAATCCTAATCAAAATACTAGCAATCTTTTTTGTCTTTTGCAAATGAATCTCTACTTGCAATAAAATCAGAACAGAATTTTTAGATAATTTAGTTAAATGTAATTATCTGATAGGTTGGTACAATGTTCTAAATTAAAGAACTA